ACTGGTAATTTCGTCATTACGGTCTCAACGCTAGTAATAATTTCCTCTGCAGTTAGTTTAGGCTTATTTACAGCAAAGTTCAAACCCACTTTTAGTAATTTATGTTCCGTCTCACTCAGCAACCTATCTGACATATTAACTACATTGTACTAGTTACTGCTAGATTCAGACCTATCTAACTATCTACCTATCTATATTGGATCCAATATATTGAATAACTGTACGGACCACGTGTTCGAAAGTTGGCTAGTGAATTTGTGCGTTTGGCTGGTGTTGATGCGAATTGGGAAATCATCGTATCTTCAACATGAGATATCTCAAATGTGGAATTATTCCTAGAAGCCTCGTTGTCATACCACCGGACAGATCTTACACCTCTACCAAAGCAGCCTACAACGCAAGCAAAACATTTCTGAGACAACGGATTTATATGACAACTCGACGCCTGAATGAAATCCGCCTCCGTGCCAATCGGCTGAGCTGGGAGCTGCAGACTGCAATAACGCAAACTGAATATGATAGACATTACAACAAGGCATGGGAAGTGAAATCAACACTAGGGATAGCTGCGAAAGAAAGACAAATTCGTAAGTTCAATCATTTGATATCTATGCATTGCAGGACCACTAGTCTCGTAGATAGGTCTGAATCTAGCAGTAACTAGTACAATGTAGTTAATATGTCAGATAGGTTGCTGAGTGAGACGGAACATAAATTACTAAAAATGGGTTTGAACTTTGCTGTAAATAAGTCTAAACTAACTGCAGAGGAAATTATTACTAGCGTTGAGACCGTAATGACGAAATTACCAGTATCAACAGCTGAGGATACTCGTGCACAGATGGCAGACATCATCAGACTTCAGAAGCCTGGTGAGCCAAATCTTACAATGGCGGAGCATACCGCATTAAAGGCTTTAAGAGAAGACCCCACCATTATCATCACGAAAGCCGATAGAGGCAAGACCGTAGTGATAACGAACAAATCGAATTATGAGAAAAAAAATGGAACAGCATTTAGCAGAAGGGCCTTACGAAGCAATTGAGAAAAAATCCGTGTCGTCTATATTGAATAAGTGTAAAACTGAGGTAGGAAACTACCTGAGAAGTGTGAAGGACAACCTAGGGGTTGGCAAATTGTATAGCGTATACCCGAAATCAACGATTCCACCTAGGATCTATGGGCTGCCAAAAATACATAAAGCCGAAGTTCCTGTTCGGCCCAATGTAGATGGTATCGGTTCTCCAACGCACGAACTAGCCCGATATTTGGCAGGTTTATTGCAACCGCTAACAGGGAGAACAAATAAGTTCGTACGGAACTCCTATGAGCTCGCGCGAAAGGTAGCAGGTATGGCTATCGCGCCAGACGAAATAATGGTTAGTTTCGACGTTAGCAAGCGTTCTCCCTATAAAGAGCCACAAATGTCTTTTTAACAACACTGTGACGTGGCGGATGTGACTCGCCACTGAATAAAGTCGCAGCCCACAACTACATACTGGCAAGTCGACTAGATTCACATATCAACTCTTCCCGACACCGTTTCAACTACACACGATTAAACCCGATGTAGCATGGTGATAAACAACAGTTTTTAAACCTTGATCCTGCCTAAGTTGGTGCGTCTCTATGAAACTGAGAATAAACTACCTATTTATTTATTTTATCATGGACATACGACCAATTTTCTACTGTTACTGTCACAGTTGCCATAAAATTTTTGTACAGTTGTACATATCTGATCATGCCTCCGTAGGCGTGCCTCGCATAATCGAGAATAAAGTATTTATTTATTTAATTATTTTTCAGAGCCGCAGTGATATGCGCTGCCCAATTACTTACATCCGCAACCGGTTAACCGTACCTTCCAGCAATCCGCCATCGTAAGTTACCCTATTGCATAAAGGTAACTCAATACTAACCGCCCTCATTAATGCCGTGTCTCTCTATTGTCGGTACCTTGTGGAGTATCCACAAACCTTTTCTCAGTGTTCTCGCTTCGTGGGTAACGAGCCGTTAAGCAGCTCACCCGCGAGGTCGGGAATATTTGTGAATGGTTTAAACATCGTATGCCATCGGTGCAGCAACTTTTCATGGTGCGCTTTAAAACGCCACAACATTTCCCCTCATGAAGGATAAGGTCACCGTGTATCGTTGACGCAGTGAGGCTTGGGGTACACGCCTACCAGAGTACCATTCCCATTTACCAGAGTGGAGGCATCAACGTCAATGAACCGCATTGCCATACCACAGGTTAGTAACCTCTTGTACAAGTCGCACTCCAGCTTGCCGCGTGCATTTGTTCCCCCATTGGCTGTTCCGCTTTAGCACTGCTATACACCGACAGGCGTAAGCTATACTCCAGGGACACATTCCAGCGTATAGATATATATATATATATTGTACGTCACGAATCCCCGTAACATGTTTGGGTAACCTAACATCTACCATCTCACTGTGCATATCGTTGCAATAGCCATGACGGCATACATGTCAGCCGTAATCCACTGCTACAACTATGGCGTTACGAGCATGCCGACGGTACATCCACATGTACCCTTCCTAAGTGCTCCTTATAACTGCGTTCAAGGGTCTTCACAAGTTCACTCAGCTCGGCGTGCATATCTCCTATTCCCTATGCATGACCCTATTCCGTGCCTTGCCATAGCTGTCGGTGAACTTTGTATTTGTACACACATCTGGTTCTTGCTTGAGGGGAAGGGTTGCACGGGCGTTATGTCCGTATAACCCACCAACACTGCTTCCGTGCACTACGTTCGGGGCGCATCACCGCTCGGACTTCGCATTCCGTGCGCTTCAATCCCCGTAATAGAAAGTGCTGGTGTTCCCCTTTGAAGGAGTGTGGGCCGGAACCATTGAAGAAGCCGGATCCCCATCCACATGCCTCCAAGGCTGATTCATTTGTGTTTGAGCTGCATATGCGGTGTGTCGTTGTCGCTGCGGGTGGTGCAGCGCAACTCACGAATGTTTCCTCTGTAGACACGAATGTCCTGCCTCTAGCTTATACCTGTTGTTATGCTATATCCAAAGGTAATTATAGTACAGCTTGGAGCAGAACTTACTATATGTATTCTTCCTGTGATCTCGTCAAACCGGTGACCACACATTCGGTGGCAAAACCGCCTCATAAGACATATGCATAAAGAGAATGTGCAGCACACATTAACGATCAGATATCACTAATTCTTTTTAACATGCGATTACCACAGCATTCCTTCTGGTAACTCTGTTTGCGGCATTACCTTCCATATCACCCTACATTCCCCTACCTATTACTCATGATCACACTTCAGACGACTTACATCTATGGCTCAGTGGACGGTCATATGTTCACTAGCCTACGGCAAGGGTAGTGCTTCCTTCTAGTTGTGCGTGAGATATACAACAATAGTGCATGAAATCCATTTTCCACCCCCTTCGCAGTGTTACTCCCCATGAGAGGATAACATTTCTACAGCAAGTTAGGGGTAGTCTCAACGCAAGCTTGGGTGCGTGGGTCGATATCATCTTGACTCCAGTACTGTGACATCATGGGTTAAGTAATCCCGCACTTGTGGAATCTAACGCGCTAAGGTTTCCATACGCCCCAACAGACAGAACGACACCGGAGCCCGGAACTCCGCATGTGCTACCTTTCAACTGCGGACTGAATAGCATTTGTTATTGGTGGTAGTGAAGGGGAATATTAACAAGTGCGAAATCTGCGCCGTTAGGTGTATTTTGTTGCGGAGTGCTAAGCAACTACGAATAATTTGGAACGTCTTCATACGACAAGATACATATGTTAAAAACATATAAAAAACGTAAGATCAGGCCGGATTCCTATATATATATATATATATATATATATATATATATATATATATATATATATATATATATATATATATATATATATGTAAAAACGGGTCTATTTGTACGTTATATAATGTACCGCAATGAAATGTACGTAGGCAGGTATGTATGAATATATCCATATATATGTGTATGTATATGTATACGTATATATATATATGCAATAAATAAATATTCATATACATATATATCCATATATATATGTATCAATATGAGTATATATATATATGCATCCTTTCTACAAACGTTGCATATTAAGACGAATGCATATACATATATGCCTATATATATATACATGATTTCATATGGCAGGGTCCGTATCCGGATTTGCCTGTCACTGTGACGTCCATGGGGACAGTCACAGGCCGCCTGCGCCTACGAAAAAGACCATGGGTGGCTTGCGCTGCACCACCCATAGTTCCACTCACACACCCCATATCCGGTGTAAACCCGAAGGAATAAGACCGGAAGGCATGCGGATGGGAGCCACGTTTCATCAACGGAGCCGGCTCACACTCGTGCAACAAGCAGAACGGAAGCATTCCGGCCTAATTGGGAAATCATACACACCAGACGTACACGAGGCGGTGGCTGGACCGTAGCCCGTTCCACACAGATTGCATGGAACCACTCTTTGAGCCTAACACCGTCACGAGGACGGTGCACTCCGTCCCCTCCAGCGACGACCAACTGTCTCCTGGAGTCAGTATGGACGAGGTAGTGGGTAATAGACAGGTAGGCATCTTGTCAACATTCACATCAGGCGCATCCACACAGAGGAGCTCAAGCAACATCTACTTCTGAAATGCAAGCTTACTCATCACGCAGGCAAACGGACTACATACGCCGCCTTATTGGCCTGGATTAGTAAATGGAATGGGAACATACTCATGGTACTTGTATTCCGCATACAATTGTGCTTTCTCCGGCACCTGAGAAACCGCCCTTTTGAGCAGTCTACCTAATTTGCATCGATCTAAATTCTGACTCCCCACCCCCTCACCCCCTGCCCATCCCGCCCCCTCCCAGCCCCCTCTCCCCACCCCTCCCACCCCCCCCCGCCCCCCCAGTTGGACCACACAGCAATAGTCAAACCCCCCCAGCACCCCTCCCCCCCCCACCCCCTACCGCGACCAGACCCCTCCACCCCACCACCCCCCCCCGCCACCCCGTGTCAACCGCACGCCACCCAGCGTCACTACCACCACCCCCCCAGCCCCCCCCGCACCTACGACCGCTCCACCCCCGGCGACAGCCTCCCCTCGCCCCCCCCTCCCCTCCTCACCCCTCCCCCCCCCACCCCTCACACTCCCCCCCCCCCACCCCCCCCCCCCCCCCCCCCCCCTCCCCCCCCCCCCCCCCCACCTCCCCTCCCCCTCCCCCCCCCCCCCCCCCCCCCCCCTCCCCCCCCCCCCCCCCCCCCCCCCCCCCCCCCCCCCCTCCCCCCCCCCCCCCCCCCCCCCCCCCCCCCCCACCCCCCCCCCCCCCTCCCCCCCCCCCCCCCCCCCCCCCCCCCCCCCCCCCCCCCCCCCCTCCCCCCCCCCCCCCTCCCCCCCCCCCCCCCCCCCCCCCCCCCCCCCCCCCCCCCCCCCCCCCCCCCCCCCCCACCCCCCCCCCCCCCCCCCCCCCCCCCCCCCCCCCCCTCCCCCCCCCCCCCCCCCCCCCCCCCCCCCCCCCCCCCCCCCCCCCCTCCCCCCCCCCCCCCCCCCCCCCCCCCCCCCCCCCCCCCCCCCCCCCCACCCCCTCCCCCCCCCCCCCCCCCTCCCCCCCCCCCCCCCCCCCCCCCACCCCCCCCCCCCCCCCCCCCCCCCCCCCCCCCCCCCCCCCCCCCCCCCCCCCCCCCCCCCCCCCCCCCCCCCCCCCCCCCTCCCCCCCCCCCCCCCCCCCCCCCCCCCCCCCCCCCCCCCCCCCCCCCCCCCTCCCCCCCCCCCCCCCCCCCCCCTCCCCCCCCCCCCCCCCCCCCCCCCCCCCCCCCCCCCCCCGCCCCCCCACCCCCCCCCCCCCCCCCCCCCCCCCCCCCCCCCCCCCCCCCCCCCCCCCCCCCCCCCCCCCCCCGCCCCCCCCCCCCCCCTCCCCCCCCTCCGCCCCCCCGCCTCCCCCCCCCCCCCCCCCCCCCCCCCCCCCCCCTCCCCCCCCCCCCCCCCCCCCACCCCCTCCCCCCCCCCCCCCCCCCCCGCCACCTCCCCACCCTACCCCCCACCCCACCCCCCCCCCACCCCCCCCCCCACCCTCCCCCCTCACCCCCTCCACCCCCCCCTACCCAACCCTCCCCTTCCTCCCCACCCCCTGCCCCCCCTCCCCACACCCCCCGCCCCCACCCCCACCCCCCGCCCCCCACCCCTCCCCTCCCCCCCGCCCCCCCCCCAACCTTTTATGTTTTCTTGGCCCCTTCCCCCCCCCCCCACTTGGATCGCAACACCTGAAATCAACATGAGTTTGTCATAAACTCACTTCTTCATGTTCTGGTAATATAATTTTCGGTTTGCT